TATATATAGGGTGATGTATGCGAATTCAGGCTTCAGCTATAGACATCATAAGGACTCCATGATTGGCTAGATAAGCATATGCACGTTTGGAAAAGCTTAGGAATCGTTCTTTCCGCCAAAATCTATTACGGACGTTAGATGCCCAAGTGTGCTGAGCACAGCAAAGTAAATTTCAGCTGACTGATTTTTGGCTTATGTGGACTACATTAGGCAAGTAATTATGAGGCCAAAATCAGTCCGCCGGACCGATGATGATGATGATTATGATGATGATGATGATTATTATTATTATTATTATTATTATTAGTGGTAGCGGTAGCGGTAGCACTAGCAGTAGCAGAAGCAGTAGCAGTAGCAGTAGCAGTAGCAGTAGCAGTAGCAGTAGCAGTAGCAGTAGCAGTAGCAGTAGCAGTAGTAGTAGTAGTAGTAGTAGTAGTGATAGTATTTGACCGTTTTCCTTTTAAGTTTTACAATCGTATTAATCCTTCTATTTATAATTTTAAAGTTTGTATTTGATTTCGTAATGGTATAGCCTATTGTAATCCCATGAATAGGGCCTAATATGATATGCCAACTAAATAGGTATATGCCTACATGTTAAGCAGTTATAGAAAAAAAAACCCGTCTGACAGTTTTAGGCCTAGGCCTGTTCTTTATTTTAATAAATTTCTTGGCGCACTTCTTCGAGAAAATAGAGAAAATAACGCGACTCAGTGTGTATATCAATTAATATTACTCTTCTGATCACGATTAGCAACTCACTCAACAAAAACACGTCTTTTCAAAACAATCTACGTGGTGTACTGCAAGCACTTATTAATCAATTCATTCATTCTTTTATTAGACTTTCATAAAAAAAAAAATCACAATAAAATATAATCAATACTATACTCAACAAATTCGCATCATGTGATCATATCATGTCTGTGCATATAAGCTTGGTTTCCATTAAATCGCTACACGATCGCCGACAGATTGTCGGCGGCGCTGAATGTTGGGTCAAATCATAGAGAAAATAAAACAGACTGTTCTATCTTCTCTATGGTCAAATCGAGAACTCTTCGATTTGACAGCTAAGCAGTGTAAAGATTGCAGTGAACACTGCGATTTTCTGAACGCTAAGCTTAAAAAAATCGCTTATGTAGGTCTAACACATAATAACCATTAACATAATCCCAGTTTCTAAAAATAAAGATTAATAGAAAAAGTTGAACATAAAGTATTGCCTAAATAATAATGTTAAGTTTATAAAAAATTAACAATATATTTTCATTAAATCATGACTATAGATATTCACTATTCGAGTACCTCTTAGCAAAGAGTATAAATAGAACAAGAGAGCCAACAACGCTCATTGAGAGCGTAAAAAAACGATACGCTCTACGCAGCCAGAGCCATGTACGCAGCTAGTGTAGGAAGCCAACTAACGCTTGTATGTGTTTTATTACCATAGAGGTATAATAAGAATACTAGAGCGCTAACCGCAATGTATTCGATGTTCGAAATACGCAGAACTGTGTGTGTGTACCATCCAAGATGGCTGCCATAGATTCAGCCAATCAAATTTCGGTGCAAACTTTACTATACAGTCAAGAATTAGTGTTTACTGTACTGTATTGTTTTTGCTTTAACAATCAATGGGCCGCCATAAGTCCTTATTTTTTAAGACTTGGTTTCATCAACCAAAACCTGGTGGAGGAGTGGCTCAAACCAGCGCCAATGTTAAGGCTGTGGTAAGCAGTCCCCCTGCCATACCACTCGGCCCCTGCCTCTGTCTGTCTGATGAATTAATGTACAATTTTTATTGCCTCTGCTTCCTTTACAGAATGCTTTGAGGGCTACAACTCTAAACCTCAGCACCCTATGTACATAACATCAAACAATGTATACTGTCTCTTATACACATCTAGATGTGTATAAGAGACAGCTTCTACCGCGCTGCGCAGCGCTGCACTGGGTAATAAAAAGAATATACAACCGTTAGTGGGCGTCCTACACAGGCGTGACGTTTTTACGAACGGGACTTTGCTCTCTTGTTCTATTTATACTCTTTGCTCTTAGCAAGTTTCATATAATAGAAACTTGAAATTATAATGAAACATTAACATTTTACAGTAACATGCGTGTTAAGCGTGGTGTCTCGAAGAGCTTATAAACTTTAATACATATTGCAAGCAACAATCGACTAACTTAAAGAGAGTAAATCGTTTCACATAATACATTTCATAAAACAAATGGTCATTCATATAAAATTAAAATTAGATCAATACCGATTGATGATAATAGTGACACCTTTTAATGGGAGGTCAACAGCTTATGAAGAGAAAAAGAAGAGACTTCATTAGGATGACCCTTGAAGGAAGCTACGGATACACCTTCTTAGAAATACTGTATGCCAATTTCTGGTCAGCCTAATTATTGTATTTTTTTTTTTTAATTTATTTTTTTATTTTGTTGTTGTTGTTGAAAGGATTAACCTCTACCTCTGCCTCTATTTCTTCGTCTTGGTTTCGGTGGTTTACTTGTCTGGTTAGTCGATTTGCTCCCTTGGCTTGTGCTGGATATGTTTCGTTGCTCTCTTTTGTCCGTTCATCTCGGGATTTCTCAGGTTGGTTACCGACATTTTTATTACTGGCTTTGGTACCTGAGTGTGCACTACTGCTCTACTTTTGCTGTTTCGTTCGAGTACTTTCACCATCCGCTGATGGTTTACTTGTCTGGTTAGTCGATTTGCTGCCTTGGCTTGTGCTGGATACAGCTTTGTTGCTCTCTTTCGTCTGTTCATCTCGGGATTTGGTTGCCGACATTGTTCTTACCGGTTTGGAACAGCAAAATACTCGAACTAAACAGCAACAGCACTACTGTTCTGCTGTTGCTGTTTAGTTCGAGTATTTTCACTCTCCGCTAGTGGTTTACGCGTGGTAGTCGATTTGTTCCCTTGACTAGCTGTGGTACTTGAGTGTGCGCTACTCCTCTGCTGTTCCTGAGTTCTTTCAAATGAATCTTTTCCCTGTCGTTGAGGCTGAGAGGAAGTGCGAGTGTCAATCGAAACCGATGAACCCTTGTTTACGTTTTCATTTTTAGGTTCCTGATTTGTCTTCGTTGTTGCTTCTTTGAGTTTTTCTTTTGATTTTGATTATTTTCGACTTTCAATTCAAGATTGTGGATTTGATTCAGATTTCTAACACCTTTTACTTAATTTTCTTGTTTCACTACCTCCGAATCATTCGTTTTTTTCTGAAAGCCCTTTCGATTGATTAAACTGTTTGATTTCAGAACTTTCAGAAATATTGCATTTTGTACAGTTCTGTACGTTTCCTTCATTTCCATTCCCAGCTGGTACATGGCCCATCGGACATTTTTCCCAACTGTGCTGGAAAAAACTTGTATTAACAGTTTTCTCAACCACATCTACTAGTGATTCATATTTTGAAAGGTCTTCTACGCTCGCTGGTCCAATTAAACTTAAAGCGTCCAGGTTAGTTTCATGTGTTACCGGTACCTTCGTATAAAGCATCAACAATAACATATTGTTGATCTTTGTAGAATCTTCAGAATTAGACTTAACTTGATGTTCACGATTTCTCAAATGATTGCAGATATTTAAACGTTGCAGTTCCGAAGACAAATCGACCAATACTTGTTTAGAAACACTATTAGTGAAATTCAAAACTCTCTTTTCAACATTATCTAATTGTTGAGATATGTGACGATCGGTAGGTTGACTACCACTATTTTCAGTTCGTTGATGCAAGTTGATACTAATCAATTCAATTTTTTCGAGTATTTTGATCATAATAATAATTACAAGCAATCTGTCATATGGTACTCCATAGCATGAGTTTACTTCATCTGATAGTTGTTTTGTATCGATTGTTTTTAGAACTGACAACATGTCAAAAATCTTTCTTCGTTTTTCTTGTACTTGTTGTTGTTGAAAGGATTAACCTCTACCTCTGCCTCTGCCTTTATTTCTTCGTTTTGGTTTCGGTGGTTTACTTGTCTGGTTAGTCGATTTGCTCCCTTGGCTTGTGCTGGATACGTTTCGTTGCTCTCTTTTGTCCGTTCATCTCGGGATTTCTCAGGTTGATTGCCGACATTTTTGTTACTGGCTTTGGTACCTGAGTGTGCACTACTGCTCTGCTTTTGCTGTTTCGTTCGAGTACTTTCACCATCCGCTGATGGTTTACTTGTTTGGTTAGTCGATTTGCTGCCTTGGCTTGTGCTGGATACAGCTTTGTTGCTCTCTTTCGTCTGTTCATCTCGGGATTTGGTTGCCGACATTGTTCTTACCGGTTTTGGAACCTAAGTGTGCACTACTGTTCTGCTGTTGCTGTTTAGTTCGAGTATTTTCACTCTCCGCTGGTGGTTTATGCGTAGTAGTCGATTTGTTCCCTTGACTAGCTGTGGTATTTGAGTGTGCGCTACTCCTCTGCTGTTCCTGATTTGTTAGAGTTCTTTCACCCTTCATATTATTAAAAAATGAATCTTTTCCCTGTCGTTGAGGCTGAGAGGAAGTGCGAGTGTCAGTCGAAACCGATGAACCTTTGTTTACGTTTTCATTTTTAGGTTCCTGTTTGATTTGTCTTCGTTGTTGCTTCTTTGAGTTTTTCTTTTGATTTTGATTATTTTCGACTTTCAATTGAAGATTGTGGATTTGATTCAGATTCCTAACACCTTTTACTTAATTTTCTTGTTTCACTACCTCCGAATCATTCGTTTTTTCTGAAAGCCCTTTCGATTGATTAAACTGTTTGACATCTCCTTTCCCAGCTGGTACATGGCCCATCGCACATTTTTCCCAACTGTGCTGGAAAAAACTTGTATTAACAGTTTTCTCAACTACATCTACTAGTGATTCATATTTTGAAAGGTTTTCTACGCTCGCTGGTCCAATTAAACTTAAAGCGTCCAGGTTAGTTTCATGTGTTACCGGTACCTTCGTATAAAGCATCAACAATAACATATTGTTGATCTTTGTAGAATCTTTAGAATTAGACTTAACTTGATGTTCACGATTTCTCAAATGATTGCATATATTTAAACGTTGCAGTTCCGAAGACAAATCGACCAATACTTGTCTAGAAACACTATTAGTGAAATTCAAAACTCTCTTTTCAACATTATCTAATTGTTGAGATATGTGACGATCGGTAGGTTGACTACCACTATTTTCAGTTCGTTGATGCAAGTTGATACTAATCAATTCAATTTTTTCGAGTATTTTGATCATAATAATAATTACAAGCAATCTATCATATGGTACTCCATAGCATGAGTTTACTTCATCTGATAGTTGTTTTGTATCGATTGTTTTTAGAACTGACAACTTGTCAAAAATCTTTCTTCGTTTTTCTTATACTTGTTGCATTGATCGCTGAGCACATGCCATGTGCTTCAATGATGTTATTTTTACATCAATTCTTTTGAGAACATTACCATATCTTGTATTATATATTATTGTGGTGTGACATATGGGGCATTCTTTTTGTCGCGAACCTTCATCTTTGTCCATATATGCATCCATTTTTAAAACTTCAACTGCGTGGGAGCAATCATACAAGTAGACATATTTTGGTCTATTTCCCTTTGCAGTAGCAGGAAGATATCTAACTGGATCACATTTTAAACAACTACGGAGACAAGGCTCACCACAAAGACCTAAACATTTATGTTTACATCTCAGGGTCTTGCGACAAGGTTTATTGCATCTGTCACGATTACACATCTCACCACATGCATTTGTACATTTTAAATGTGGGCATTTCCACTCACATGGTGATTTACATGGTGCACAAATTTCAGCACAGACTCTAAGACATTTTCTGTGTGGGCAACGGGAACTGCACCGTTTTTTACATGGCTGATAGGGAGTAATGGAGCATATCTGTTGGCCAATGTGACCGCAGATAAGCTTATTGATGCAAATTTGTGAGCATGTAGTATGTATCCGTCCGTGCGAACAGCTTGTACAGTTTCCTTTACATTTATGCCCACAGGCTAAGGTAGCATTGCACACCTGCTTACAACTATCGATTGAACATTCCTGCGAACATTTCTTCATACAAAAATGACCACACAACAGCTTTTTGGAACATCGATTACTGCATATTACAGGTAGATAACTATGACAACAAAGTTGTGTTTCTTCATGTCCACAAGGTAGTTGGATCTTTGTCTTAAAATAACAAGCTGCTTCACCATAAATGACATTCTCTGTAACATCTACATAACATCTCACATTTTTATTATGCCCGCATTTTAGTTTCTTCTTCACGATCTCAGTACATTTTTTTGTACACGGATTAGCGCAAGCGTCTTTACATTTATGTCCACATGTTAACAGCCTTGAGCACATTTCGGAACATAAACCGACTTTTGAACACTCACGAGTGACGTCATGTCCGCAATCTAATGTTTCAGTAACCTTTACCTTGCATTTAATTTTATCGAGATGAGATGATTTACAACACTCGATTGTGATTTCATGTCCACATTTTAGAGCTTGTATAACTTCCACGTTACAGTTTAATAATTCAATTTGATTTGGAAGTCTTGAAAACTCATAACGAAATCGTCTATCTCTAGGCCTATTTTTGTATAATGTTTCAAGATTTATATTACAGGGTAACTCTTTCTCATGTTCACATTTTAGCTTTTTTTTAACTAGTCTAGTACACAACTTCGCATCGCACGTTTCGTAACACCTTAACATACATGGGTGTCCACATGGTAATGTCCTAGTGCACATTTCTTTACAAGTAGCACTTTCAACAGTTTTATAGCAAAACAACATCTTTAGATGTCCACATAGAAGCTCTTTTCTGACTTTAACAAAACAGTCGCCGCACGACTCACCACATAGTTTAAGACATTTATGTCCACATGATAACAGCCTTGAACACATTTCGGAACATAAACCGATTTTTGAACACTCACGAGTGACGTCATGTCCGCAATCTAATGTTTCAATAACCTTTACATTGCATTTAATTTTATCGATATGAGATGATTTACAACACTCGATTGTAATTTCATGTCCACATTTTAGAGCTTTTATCACTTCCACGTTACAGTTTAATAATTCAATTTGATTTGGAAGTCTTGAAAACGCATAACGAAATCGTCTATCTTTATTTTTGTATAATGTTTCAATATTTATATTACAAGGTAATTCTTTCTCATGTTCACATTTTAGCTTTTTTTTAACTAGTCTTGTACACAACGTCGCATCGCACTTTTCGTTACACCTTAACATACATGGGTGTCCACATGGTAATGCCCTAGTGCATATTTCTTTACAAGTAGCACTTTTAACATTTTTATAGCAAAACAACATCTTTAGATGCCCACATAGAAGCTCTTTTCTGATTTTAACAAAACAGTCGCCGCACGACTCACCACATAGTTTAAGACAGGGGTGACCACACAAACTTTCACGTGAGCATGGCAAAATACAGGAAGGTGTAAAGCAAGGAACATTTACAGTGTGTCCACACTGAAATGTCTTATCTATATATTTTCTACATTTTTCGGTGCACATATCTCCACATTTTGTTTGACAGTCATGACCACAAGTTAACAATTTTTCACAGGGTAGTTGGCATGAGTTTATGTAGCATTTTACTTGAATATCGTGGCCACAAGGATCAAATGATTTATTAACAATTTCTAAGCATCTCTGCAAGGTGCAACTCTGAAAACACTTAAGTCTGCATTTGTGACCACACTTTAATGTCCTTTCACATGGTTCCATGCAATCAATTGACTGGTTGTATTTGGCACACTGTACACTAGCTTCATGGGAACAATCAAGCAGAATTTTACAAATAATGACTCTACACGGCGGGCACTTTTCAAAGCACAAAGAATTGCAAGGATGCTTGCGATCACAGGTTCTGACACACGGTTCTCTACATTCGTATTTTTCATGGTGCGGGTCTTTTGGATGACAATAACGAGGACATACATGACCACACTCGAGGCGAGTTTCGCACATACGGTTACACCCTCCTAATGGACATTTTTCGAAGTCTTTTGCAATAAACGCTTTAACCTTCGTCGCTGGATGGTTGTGGCAGTGCAACAAAAGATGATTTTTTATGCGACCTGAAGATCGCATATCGTTTACTATCTTCATCCAGAGGTCATTCTTTTCCGCTAAAAGTGTGAAGTTACCAATACAGAACAAACCCTTTCTGGCTCTCGACAATGCTACGCACATTCTATTTGAGACCTTTAAAAAACCGATATTCCCAGCTTCGTTACTCCTTACTAAAGACAATAGTATGATATCATTTTCTTCCCCCTGGTAATTATCGACTGCAGTAACATAAATACCATCAAGACAGGCATACCTCTTATCTCTGAGTTTTCCTTTCAAGTTTAACACCTGTCCTGTATAGGTAGTCAGGATGGTGATACATGATGCCTCGTAACCCTGCTGGAAGAAGTAATTTGCAAGAGCTAAACAATATTCAGCTTCGTGAACGTTTGACTTACTCAAAATATCCTCCACAGACTCTTCCTTGATGTCGTGATTTATAAAGAACAAGTTATGGTTCACACCCATAACATTATCAAAGTGATTTACCGAATCGTCATCAAGGAGATGGCTGTAAAAGTGTTTCCTCATGATGTTCGATATCTCTGGTCGCATGCGGTGTTGAGATGACAGTCTCTGACAGGGGACATTATTTGTAAGCATTCTTTCAAAGAGTGAAGTATCCAGATGAAATTTGGTAGCAAGTTTGTATACTGTAGGATTAGGCTTTAATTGTTGATGGTCTCCAATAAGAATAAGGTGTTCGCATTGATCTGTCAGGCTTGTTACTATATGTGCTTCTAGTATTTCTGCAGCTTCTTCAACAATGACAATTTTCGGTCGAATGTCGTTCAGGAGCTCTTTATTCATAGCAGCACCGGTCGTTGTCATACCGACTACATCTGCATCTCTTATAACTTTACATTTAGCTTCGTGGTCTTGCTCATAAATTCTCCTGCCTACTAATTGGTCATAACTGTGCTGCTGATTGAATAAAATTTTACGCAATGTACCTTTGTACTGGGTTATCCAATATCGGTAGAGACGCCATTGATTATTCAGACATAACTTGCGAATATTGACTAGTCTGTTGGCCTCCTGTTTATCCATTTCATCATCAGTGATGGATAGTTGTTTTATCAATGTCGCATAATGCTCTTTCAATGGTGAATCTCTGCATTGCATGTCCTGATTATAAGCGAGTTTAGTGTATAGGGTGCGCAAAACCAATTTCTTTCTTGTTTCATAATCTTTTCTATCACCTGCATCATCATACTCCCTTTGATACATTAGCATGTCGAATTCAGTCGTAATGTTCTTTGTGTTAGAAACATCATCCTGTTCTTCTTCTTTAACCTCGTCGTCAGCATCTGCAACATCTTCTGTCTTTTCAAATTCATCTGAAGTGGAAAGAAGACCAAGCCATGTAGGTAAAGTTGAACGCTTCCCGTCCACCAAATATTCTTCTCTTAAGTCCTGTAGACATCTGAAATGATTTTCATTTATAACAGCTTCAAGGGTATATTCACTTAATATGTATTTGTTGCACAATTTTATCATCTCCTCAGCCTGTATCATTTGATTACTTATGGCATCTATAATCTTTTTGAAATTATCTGACCTATGTCTCCACTTTTTTGATATAACTTTCAGGTTGAAACGTGCAAGTTCTTCGCTTTTAGATCGTCCACCGATTCTGACTAACTTCTTTGGAGAAAATTCAAGAATACCTTTAAGAAATTGATCTAGCGCATGGTTTGTATAACATATAACCATTATAGGACTTTTATGTTCAACATGTTCTGCATACTCATCATTATTTGGTGACCAATGTGATTTGTTACGTAGAAGAGTCTCAACAATTTTCAATCCAATGTATGTTTTTCCAGTTCCTGGTGGCCCTTGAATAACCGCAAGCTCTTTTGTCAATGCTGCCTTCACAGCAATAAACTGTGATTCATCAAGTGTTAGTTTGTTAAATTCGGGCCAAGCATTGTCGTCTAGTATGTTAATTCTATTTTCGTTACGAAGGCCCATGGGACGTCGTCTATTCCTATCGTAAGTTCTTATTTCTTGTTTTATCAAAGAACTAATATCGTACATTAGGCCGTTCTTACTACGCAGATATTTTGGTTGTTCTATGTTGTGTGAAGCCCGAATAATGTAGTTTTCCATCGGTATAGATTCTTCATTGAACTGTTGAAGTACCTGCAGGACAGGCCTGTAGCTCTCAAAAAATGCTGTTGATTCGACCATAGTGTATACACGTGTATTCTCTACGTTTTCAATATTATGGATCTTAAGATCAACTCGGCCATGGCGTAGTAGTTCTTCTTCTCTATTGCCAACCGTTCCAAAAAGGAGAGTTTGAAAATTGTCATGTGATAAACAGACAAGAGAGCCAAAAATTAATCGTTTTGTATTCTGCCACTTTACTCGCGTTAAGTTACTGAGACTGAATTTGACGCGATAATATACCCCGTTTTCAGAAATTACAGGATGGTCAATTTGAACATCATAGTACAGACGAACATCTGTATTCCTTTTTCTCTGGTCACGTGGAAGAGGATTTGCTACATTAGCCAAGTGTGTTTGAATTCCATCACGCAAAGGGCCAATGAAGTCCTCTCGCAGCAATCGGAATTGAACATCGAGATAATGAATATGATTTGAGTAACTTCCTTTAGTTTTATTAGGCCGAAGGAACGGTGGTTCCATTGATTGGAGGTCATCTTTGGTTGGTAATATCGGAATATCCCGATAGTCATCAGGCGGTGGGCCATCAAAAATACCTTCTCGGATGGCAGAGGCATGTTGTCTTCTCTTCTTGTCTTCTTCCTTTGCTTCGGTAATGCATTTGTCCGCTTCTTTTTTCAAACGTGCTACCTCAATAACAGCTTCTTGTGACAAACTGCGTTGTACAAACAAGGCTTTACTAGAGACGTCAAGGAGTGTTATATGCATTTCGAGATCTTTCACTTCGCATTCAAGTCCAGGAATGAACCCTCGTAGAAATATCGAAAGGAGAGCTATCTTTTTTTCAATTTGACTTGGGTTTTTTGTGTTTGATTTATCTCCTAAATGTGCCGTATATAACTGAAGTACACTCTTAAAAAATGTACTGTCTTTTAACATATCTATTACTGCTTTTATTTTTTCTGAAACTTTTTTAGATGTTTTGTACTGAAATACCCTTACAAAAATCCTGAGTAGAATTTCAGTGACGTCATTGATCATTTTCTTTTCATTTAAGAGTGCTTTGAGCATGTCGGCCCGGTTGGATAACATATGTACCACGTCATTAGGCGACTGCGTCTGATGTATTTTCTTGAGATCATTCATATTTACTGCAAAGAATGAACATATTTTGTATTGCAGATATATTGAATTTAAGTTTTTATTTCACGTAAGTAACTCACTTCAGCCCGACAATGTTGAAGACTGAGGTAAGAAAAATTATGATCATGGCACCGCTAGGTGGCAGTAAATGGCAATCTCAGACTGAAATGTGAATATAATCACTTTCTCCATTAATTTAAAACATTTAAAAAACATGTCCTCTTTGAGTCCGCCACTGGTATTGCAGTATAATGTAAAATCGTCAAACAAATACCTTTTTTGACTTAAGGTCAAATCTACTGAATAGGCTATTGCAAAAGGTTTGTTTGTTTTTTTTTTATATATAGTTGTGTCGACTACCTTCGTACTTACATGGTTTTACAATGGGTTTCGTTTCAGCGTAATGGCATCTTCCTCCATCTAATTGATAATTAAGTGGCCTATTTGGGGTCGGTGCAAAATCTCTGTAAAAAGGAATATAATTTCAAATTACGTCGGATCTACACACTAGCATCGCACACCCAAACAAACCCTCCGCACATACTACCACACAGATACGATAAGACAGAATAATGTGTGATGACCTTGTTAATTTCAACTATATTTTTTCAAATTACAAATTATATTTTCAGATGAACAAAAATAAAAGTAATCTACATCGCACACACTGTGCTCCAGGCACACACTGTATCGTACGATGGTCGTACGTTCGTTGGCCAATGAATTCATCTCTACTGTCTGTGCGCGCTTGGCAACACGACCGTCTGCTCATTGTCGATGATAGATCGTCATTGAAAAATCCGCTGCGCGTTTTCCATGGTGTGTTGGCCGACGACCGTCGGGGCAGCACTGTGTACCAGCATAATAGTTTTTACATGCCACTGTTGCAATATTGTGTACCGTAAGTAATTGAATAAACCCTCCGAGGCCTTTATTATTGAGAAGGGTTTTTGAGAAGGCGTTCATTCGAGGGAGGCGCTTTCGAATAAATACCATATATAGGCCTACTACTAAACAGTGCTATGTTAGGATTAATCATTTCTTTGAGTTGATCGGGTTTTTTTGTTGTTTTTTTTTGTCCCTTGTTTATGTTTGCATATCCTGTAGTTTGCGCTAAAATCTATAGGAGATAAAAGTCATGTTATGAATTGTTAACAATTAAGTTAAAACATGAGACCGAGTATTGTGCGGCCTTCCTTTAATATTTCTGTTTAGAATCGATAACACATGTGCCTACATATTCCTATATAACATACCTAGCTCCTTTCCCATTTGTATGGCTTTCTCTCCTAAAGTCTCCATAAACAGTCGCTGTGGATGTTGGATAGTGATTTCTATGGTGATGAATATATAATATATTGTCTCCATTTAACACATTGGCTAACTCCATTGCATTATAAGTTCCTTTTAGTAAAATAATTGTTAAAATTGAGAATTTACTTAGTTTGCATAAACTTGGAGGTCAGTGTTTGTTGATGTTTCTGGTATCATCATCACAATGGGTGCATTCTGCAAAGGACCTAATAGTCCATTGGCGCAGGGTAACAGGGTAACTATGGACCAGTACACCGGGGTAGTCCCGATTCGTCACGAAAAATTTACTGGGTTCTTTATAGAGCACATGAGCCAATTGTGTAGAGTGGGGCTATGTCATTATCAGAGAAGACATATTCCACTACCAACAATAGGTGAGTATTGGTATTTTGGATTAACTGACCAAATTGCTATTATATTACCTTTGTTTGAATTGGTTTTATTTTTTAGCTTAAATTATATTTTTCAATTTAGTAATATTGTGTTTATTTTTTTTTTAAGTAAGCCTATCAAAAACCTTCATATTCTACACAATGTCATAGAGGGATTTCTAACATCCCAATGTATTTTTAATAATGAATCATTATCATTATGATCATTATTATTATCAGTATTATTATTATTACTCTATAGAGTTACTATATAGAGTGATATTATTTTGAATTATGTTATTATTATTATTGTTATTTTTGAATTATTGTTAATTTGTTATTATGTTACTATAGAGTGATGTTATTTTGAATTTTTATATTATTATTATTATGTTATTTTTTAATTATTGTTAATTTGTTATTAATGTAAAAACATTGTAAGAAACCTTTAATGTAATCTACGAATGTGTTCCTTAACATATCGTGTACTAATAATTGAATCACATACCTATAAGGTCCTTCTCTATTAACCTCGCCACGATTGCGATTTCTAAATCCTCCAGCAGCTGTCCGGTTGTCATGTTGTGTTAATGGATGATAGTTCCCACTGTAATCCAAGTATCCCTGAGCGTGTACATGTTTAACGCTAGACGACTGTTGGTGACGGTTTCTGGTGTTTTCGGTTGGAAGACCAACTCGACGTCCAGGGTCCTTTGGTCTTGCGCCTCTCATTTTAGCCTAATCTAATGACAAATTCAAAATAACATCACTCTATAGAGTAACTCTATAGAGTAATAATACTAATACTAATAATAATAATGATAATAATGATAATGATTCATTATTAATTATTATCTTTATCATTATTCAAATATGCACAGTACCGTACGGTAACTCACCCACTTTTTATTTCAAAGAGGGACACTATTTGTATTTTTAGTATATGTTTTTGGGGACTCTTTTTAAGAGTGGCCATTTTCAGATTTTGTAATCCGAATTTCACCAAAATTCAATGTCGGCCTACTTTTCACTTCACATCTTCTGACCACAAAATTCAAGGAACATATAGTGTTGAAACATTTTATTTTCAACTACTGATTGTTAAAAAAAATTGTGACAACCCACTTACTTGGCCAATTCCTTACCTTTCCTGGTTAAACATACGGGACGATTTTACTATTATAATTGACAAAAAAGTACATGCCAATTATTGGCGTTGAAATGGAAATGTTAAGCAAATAGTCAATGGTTCTTATCGTCACATGCTTTAAATATAAAAATGCATTAAAAATATTCACATTCAGCCCCCAAAAAACTGAAGTTATGCTGCGTTCATTAGAACTTGTGAAGTCGGTGATTCCCAGTTCACAACTTGTGAAACGCGTTCATCTCGTTGGTGAACTTGTAAACACAAGTTGTGAACTCGAGTAGAATTTTCTTCCTCGATTTGCACAAGTAGTGTGGAAAATGGCTGATGTAACACAAACTATGTACAACGAGCATTTTGCAAATAAAACATACAAACAACACTCTTTTTTTTTATCTGAAATAATATTACTTAATAAACAAATTGCAATAAATACCTATTAGGTATTTATTGCAATTTGTTTATTAATAAGTAATATTATTTCAGATAAAAAAAGAGTGTGTTTGTATGTTTTATTTGCAACCCAACATATTTATTGCAATTTGTTTAAGTAATATTATTTCATATTAAAAGAAAAAGTTTTTGGTGTATGTTTTATTTCCGAACACATTGCAAAAGTGACAGCAGCCATTTAGCGTTCGTGAAATGAATGCACTCTTCTTGTGTATTCGCATGTTATAGGTTAAGTTCTAATGAACGCAGCATTAAAAACGCTGTATACATTTACTGTAATTGCACTAATTTGAATATTCATCATATAGCTATTGTTATATGCCTACGATATACGGTAAACATATTATTTAAATGGTCCTCATTATTCGCACCCTACTTCGGATCGTGACTTCTTCAATAAAACAAGACAAAATATTCTGGAAAGCGTTATTTTTTATTCTGGAAAGTATTATTTTGATCCATTGATCCATTTTCGAGATATTTAGGTCTGGGACATAATGGTCTTTTAATGCACACCCGAATAGTGGCTCTAATGTGTATGTGTGTGAGGAGGGGGGGGGCTTTCTGTCGGTGAATATCACTTTACCTACACCCACCCCGTTGGGCAAATCGTGGCACCACCAACAGCAGCCAGTCAACAACGCATAATGTTGTCAACAGTGTTTAAAACCCCTCACCGGACAGGTCAAGCCCATTCGGACAGCTTGTCGGGCAGTCGGACAAAACAAAAATATAAAAATAGGCCCACGCTAAGCCATGTCTGTCACAGTCTGAGACTCGAGTGTCATTTCTGGCTATCCAGAGGTTCCTATTCTTAAAAAAAAATTCATTTGGGAGGGGAACACCCTCTCAAAACATTCTCCAGTCACCGGACAGGTCAAGCCCCTTTCGGACAGAGCTTGTCGGGCAGTCGGACTAAACAAAAATATAAAAATAGGCCCACGCTAAGCCATATCTGTCACAGTCTGAGACTCGAGTGTCATTTCTGGCTATCCAGAGGTTCCTATTCTTTATAAAAAAAATTCATTTGGAAGGGGAACACCCTCTCAAAACATTCTCCAGTCTCGGCCTACGAGCTCAAGTCCCCTGTTGGACAGCTAAACCCTCCCCTCCCCCAGAAAATATATCAGAGCCGCCACTGGGGCAAGCGAATGGGAGTGGGTTAAACAATGTAAACTTAGTGCTAAGCTTTTTGTTAAAGAATACATATCAATTAGATTTATTCTATTTTAATTTAGGCCTGTCTTTCGTTAAGTGGGACCTTACCTTAGCAATATCCACAAGGGGCGTGACTAAGCGGAAGTGTCTAATTTGCACCTTACAAGAATCCGACCCATAAGGAACAATTAACTCATGATATATCTATTGTGATCGACCACTGACTGTCACCATTCATACATCTATATATATAGATATACCGCCAGGAGATATATGTTTTAGTCGTGTAAGTTTAGGTGTGTGGTTGTGTGTGTGTGTCACGTTTTGGTGTTTAAATGTGTTTGTTCTTTTTTTGTTCGAAATATATCAAAAACTGCTGCACAGACTTAATTGAAAATACTAGGGAGTGTTTGGTATAACCCAATGAATAAATGATTAAACTTTGGTGACGTTCCGGAGTAGGGTGGATGTGATGACCATTTAAAGGGATTTAAGAGCAAACGTTCTAGACAAGATATTTCAAAAACTAAACAACTGATCTGAACAAAAATTTCGTGAACGTTTAACCAAGTTGCAAGGTAGTGGCGGATTTAGAGGGGGCGTAAGGGGCGTACGCCACCTCAATTTTTGTGAATGATATTTTTTGTCAATTGCTTATCAGAAATTACCAGGCTAAATAGTAAAAATCAATCAATAACATCTAATTAATAAAGCTGGTGCTAGAGGTTTGAGGGAGACTATCCCCCTTGTAGATACCAAGGGTTCTTCCCTGAGACTCTCACTCAGTTCGCACATTCACGGCACCCTCTTTCTTGCGGGGCTGGAGCCGCCCCTTCAAGGTTTAGACCTAATCAAAATTGGTTTAAATAAAATAAACGGACCCGGAAGTGATACATGTATAATACAGTACTGTAGGTTACACTGGCCTCGCTAGGGCTTAAATCCTATCATCAGTGGGGGACAGGGGACACGTCCCCACACTTTTCAAAGTAGGGGGGACATCATATCGATTGTCCCCACCCCACTTTTCACCAATCTTCTATAATTAAAACCTCGCTTTTAAAAGCGAATGTAAAGAATAACAATTACGCATGACTCATTAATTTTGTCTGTTCAGTTTTCCAAGTGCAGGATACGTATTTTGCAGACCAAAGCCAAGTAAAAACGTTGTTTATACATTTCGTAACCATCTCAGAAACCACTAGATCGATTTTATGGTTGTTAAAATTGGAAGCGTGTATGCTTATTAGGCCAATATTTTTACAAACTCAAAAGTGCACAATTTCTACTGTAAACGATTTATTCCTTTTGTATACTCGTAGGTATGTGTTTAATATTATCTACATACATAGGATTACTGTTTTTCCTTTAAAACATATAGTTAGTCAATTGAATTTTATATAGCCATTATTAAATAATAATTTTACAGCCTCTGACACGGACAAGTCCATCTATTTTGATTTAGTGATACCAAAATTTTACTAAAGTGTTACGTTGACGCAATCTCGCAATGACTTCATAATAATCAGTGGCGGAATCAAGTGGGGCCGAGCCGACCCTAATTTTTTCAAAATTATTTTTAAAAAATAAAAAAAAGGGAAAATTATAATTAGAATTTAGGTCTGAGAGTGCCATTTCCGGCAATCTAGAGGTGTCATAATCCTTTTTCTTTACTCAGCCCCAACCATGGTGGGGCTGAGGTGATCTACTCTCCCAAAATTGTGCAAGTCCCTCCCTGTACCCGACTCTATTTAGCTTTCCTCCTGGAGTCGCAACTGATAATGATAAATTAAGTAAATCACCTTTATGTTTGTGAAATCAAAATACTAACTAATGTTTTGTGTGCTCCCTAGTCCGGTTTGATCATAAATTAGACGGTATTATTTCCACTCACAATAGTGTAATCGCAATATTGCTTACACAAAAGTGAAATTTAAAATGAGGAGAAAAGCAAAAACCTCTTAATTGATTTTAAAAGTACAGTGCATGCAAAGAGACTAAATTTATGACTGTTTTAAGTTTCTTATTTGTTTTTCATGGTTCGAATTTTGAATACGTCACAAGCTAATCAGTAGATATAATAAAATTATTATTTTTATGAATGTTTTGCACGAAATCTATATAAGGGGGGGGGGGGTAATTATGACTAAAAGTATAATTTTAAAAACTTTTATGATGAGTATTTCAGTGACAGATTTTTTTTTTTTTGAATTTTAAAAGTGGAGAAAAGTGAAAACTATTAAAATTAAGTCTGAGAGTACCATTTCCGACCAACTAGAGGTGCCATAATCATAAATTTTCTTACCTCAGCCCCAACCATAGTGGGGCTGAGGTGGTCTACACTCTCCATCTGTAAAAGTCCCTCTCTGGGCTCAGCTCTGTTTCAAATTACTGGATCCGCCACTGGATATTTTGAAAATTTCGTATGAAAATAAATGTTAATTGCATCGCTTAAAATCAATTAAAAGGCTATAGGCGCCAGAGCCTTCGGGTGCTTCGCCCCCTGGTCCCAAACTAAGGCTTGGGTCTACGACCCAATGCCTTTATTTTTCATTTCGTCCCCCCACCCCACTTTTAACCACAGATCGACGCCCTTCAAGTGAATTGAATCTGACTAATAAACTGGAGTACGCCATGTAAAGACGTGCGTGTGGACTCGTTGTTAATATTGAAATCAACTCTTATCATCGTAAAATACAAAAATATTGATCCATTTACGTATATATGAGTTAAACAACTAAATATCTCGAATGGCGAGCCCACGTGATCTCTGGGAAATCCCAGAAAACGCTTGACTTAACATAGTCATCGATCCGAATAATGTTGTAATGCTGGGAAATTACAGAACATGGCTTCCCAACACTATGTTATTATGATAAGAAATACATTCTGATTAAATGATCTTATGTTGAACAACTTTTCGTCTTGTTACTGAGATAGTCAAATCTATAATTTAATCAATAATTTTCTCGAT